TTTAAGATCTTTTAGGTGAAAGGAAGAACTAAGAACTAAGAACTAAGAACAAAGAACTTAAGAGTTATAGAACTCTCCTTTGTTTTATATAATTTCGGACAAAATTCTTATCTTTTCATGAGAAAAGCAAAACAAATATTATGAAAAATGTAGAAAAATAGTGTGAAAAATCTTAGTTAGTTCTTTCAAAGTTTAGGAAAATCTTCGAACACTTTCCTTGTCACTCTTTTCATCTTCATAGTTAACTCCCTTTCCTTGAGCTCATCTGTTCATAACTCAACCCTTCCTTATACCCTTCAAGACTTTTCCTTTTCAGCATTTTCCATTTTCCAAACAACTTCTCCCTTTACTTCACAGCCTAAGCAACGCTGATTCCTTGACTAGACCTGTGATTAATTAAAGATTTCGCTGTCCTTCCAAGTCACAGTTTTACCCCCAAACAAACCTACTTTTGGGCCCACTGTGCTTCCACCTTTCGTTTAACCCATCATATACCGCCCACCCACCTAACCATTATTCTGGATGCCCATGGGCTTTCCCCTCCGCTGGCCATTTTGTAGTTTGTTTTATTGCAATTGCATTACAAAGTCGCAGCTGCTGACAAGTGAGATGAAGTTGGTGGCAGGGACAGAAGCAGGAACAGGGGCAAGGCAGTGGGGTCCATGCCCCAAAATGTTATTCATAGCCGAAGCGGAACAAACGCTTATTACACCTTTTAATTGGGAATTTATGGCAGACTTGAGTGGATGAACGAATGGATGGGCGGTGTGGCAAGGCGGTTAATTTACAGCTGGGGCGGACAATAACGGGGTACATCTCCACCCCTCCACCTGCCGACTGTGAATTTATGCCGCCCACCTTCGACCTCGAGGGATAAGCAAATAATCCCCTTATAATTAGCAGCAAACAGGACAGGAAAAATAAAAAAAAAAAAGAATAATAGAAAAAAAAAGCCAAGCAGAAACGTTGACAACAACAAGGAGCAGTTCCAAGGACAACGACAACAACAGGCGGCCGCCAAGTGGTTAATGTTGAGCAAATTATTAAATTTTTCGACTGCTTCAGTGGGGTGGAGGGTGGTGGTGGTCGGTCACCAAAGGAAGCAGAGAGGGGACATCATGACCTAGCCGGGCCATAAAAAGATTAAACAGGCGAGCGCGCGGCGTGTTAATTTATGGCCAACAAATATGCTCGACAAAACGTTTAAGCAAGCCGCCCGCCCTCCTTCTTCTTTAGGCCAGAAAAGGACTGGCCATCAGAAGCCAAGGCCAAATGGAGATTGGTCGATGGTGGAGCAGGTCAAAGCCTGTAAAAGGAGGGGATCACAGTGGGTGGATAGGCAGTGTGACAGGTGGCCGTAGACGCTTAGACCCGCTTAAAAAGTTGTAAAATTTGTTAAAATACTTGAGAGCGGCGAATAAAGAAGGCATGGGAAAAATTAAACGAGCGTAAATAATAATAAAAAGCAACGACAAATGGACAATACAATGGCAAGGATATTTCCCTGGTTAAGAGGACCTCCAAACGAACACACACACACTCTCACAGAGATACCAGCTGCAGGGGGCAAGTTTAGTTAAAGGGAAAAATATCAGTACAAAAGGTCGTCTTGCCATTGTTAGAAAGAACTTCAGCCAAGAAAGGTGGTTAGTTAAGAAACAAAAATGTTCGGCCATGGCTTGAGGTTGAGTGAAAGGTAAATGAGAAAGGTTTTTGGCACAAAATGTACTTAAGGGGAAAATAATTAAGAAAAGGCAGATTTAGCAACTTTCTTTGAGTCTTTCTTTTCAGTTTTTGAAAATAATTTTAGCTTGAATTTGAGGGGCGGCAATTTTGAAAAATATTTTATAAAAATCTACAACTTCTCTTCAGACTTTTCCATTTCTTTCTGGCTTTTTGACTGCTAAAATATATTTTATAAATATTAAATAAATATTTAATTTAAGCTTTACTAGCAGAAAATATATTTATTACCCTTCCCAAATATTCTTAAAGCCAAAATGTTTGAAAAAAACTCTTTAAATATTCACAAAATGAGCTAACTTACTCATATTTAAAATGCAAGAAGACTTCTTTCCTTTGGTTACTAAAAAAAAAACCAAAAATCTACTAAAATTCCCATATCTCCTTCTCTCAGAATATAGTTTTCTTTCATAAGGCATATACCTGATATATACCTGACATATTTATCAATTTCCGAAGGCTTCCCCTGTTAAACACCAGCTGGCTGCCTTCTTTCCCCCCCCACGATTAATGCCCAATTAAGTTTTTGGCTAGCCTTTACAATGGATCTCGATCTCGATCTCCTCTTTCCCAATCCCAAGTTGACTTATCCCACCGAGGAGGGAACCCTCCGCCCAGTTTACTGACGCAATCAGATGGCTTTCAGTCGACGCAGGGAATGCAATCAAAATGAGCTTCACAAAGCCGGAGCCACATTATCCGATGTCTCTCGGACATTGTTTGGCCGGATGTTGTCCAGTCCACTAGTGTTGCTCCCCTCTCTCTTCTCTCCACCAATCGCTCTTTTTAAGGACGCCACGTTAAGGTCCTTAATGAAAACTGTCAGACAATGACAACGATTTCAATCGCATACTCTGGCTCTTCGCTCTTCCCCCTCTTCCCATATTGATCTGGGATATTATTATTAATATTTCATATACGGGTGGGGTAGGGGGCTGGGGGGCTGGTTCAGTCTCATTATAAAAACATTTAATAAAATTGCGATTAAATTCGCAAATAAAAGTGCGTGGTCGCAGCGGACGGAGCGGACGGAGTGAAGGAGACAAAGAATAACGTTCAACTAATTAAGTTAATATTCCGAGACAGAGGGGAGTCGTAATTTATGGCCATTTGCATTTACATCGATTTCTGTAGGTCCCATAATGGGGGTGGCGGAAAGGGGAAATGGGTGAAAGTTAAGCTGGCGGCGGCGGCTGCTACTTTCATGTCCACGTCGTCCATGATTCAAAAGTGTCATGCATTATGTAAATTAATTTAACTACAAAAAAACAAGGCAATATGCAAGAGTCCTGCAGAAATGTTAAATGGAAAATATAAAAAAGGGTTTAAAGCAAAAACAAAAAAAAAAGAGGAAATACGCCAGCCAGAGCGGGCAAAGACAAATAAAATGGCAAATGCAATGCAATCATAGCTGACACTGCGAAATTAAATCAAATAAAACATTCAATGCGACCACAGACAGAGACAGATGCACAAAGTGAAAGAGACGGGCGGCGGTGCGGTGGCGGTGGCGGTGGCAGAGAGGGAGAAGAAGAAGCCTTCTAGTAAATTAAATATTAATTACAATAAATCAAAATGGATAGGGACAATCGGTTTTTAAGCAGACGGACTCTTTAAGTGGAAAGAAATTTAATTTCTTTCCTTCATTTTTGATATTTTTAAGAACAGTAAAAATCAGGAAATTCTTGAATTGGGAATGAACTTTGTTTTCCTGACAATTCCTTTGGGTTTCTCAGCAGAATTTTTGTTAATTTTGAATCAATTTTGAACCAAACTCAAACATAAAACCAAATGAATTCCAAATCAGCATCCAATCCAGCGGAGAGCCACCAAAAAATCAAGAAAGTATATCCTGAAAAATCCTTTGAAAATATCACCAAATTATTATCATAATTAGTTACCATTTTCCGCTCTCGTATTACCATTTTCCATATTACCATTCTCCTTATTGCCACTCTTCTGATTACCATTTTACGTTTTCCAAGGGCACTTCCTTCCAAGGCAGAGATACTTCCATCCACATACGCACGCACGCTATATCCTTTTCTTTCCAAAAATCCAAATAAAAAATGCAACATTTTTTGTTTTTTACACTTTTATTGAATTCATATTTGGTTTTTCTTTCTGATCGAATCTCTCGTTTTGCCGGCTCAAATTGCATGGTTATGTCAGTGAGTGTGTGAGTGTGTTGTGTGTATCTTTTGTATCCTTTTCCAATGTATGTGTCTTTCTGCTCATGATAATGAGAGTGCATGTGTGTGTGTGTGAGTGCATGAGTGTGTGTGTGTAGAGTGTATGTATATGGCCTTCGGTAATATGGTAATATAACCTTCGTTAATTTGATCTTAGACCTATGCAATTTAATCCGTAACTCTTGTTCCACTTTAATGGTAGGATAACCCATTTTCTTACCCTTTTTTCTTGGTTTTTCTTTTGGTTTTTCTTTTCGTTTTTCGTAATTATAGTTATTATGAATTGTAATATTTCAAAGTGTCCCGAGTGTTTCATTAACGTGGAACAACGCACACACATATTTTCCATTGAATTGGGCATTTTGCTTTTTTTTCCTTTTCATTTTTCATTTTTCATTTTCATTTTTCTTATTTAACCACATTAAAATTGTTTGCTTTTGACGCCATTGTTTATGCTTAAAATTGTATTTAACATATTTACTTTAAAATTGTGTTTTTCCTTTTTTCCCTTATTTTTTTTTTTTTTTTTTTTTTTTTGCCTGCTCTCTGCGCATTTTTCTGTGTTTACTTTTTCCTTTAATTAACTCTACCACATAAAAAAGACAACAAAAAGACAACAAAAAACACAACAAAAAACTTTAATTGAACAAAAAAGGAAAATACAAGAGGAAAACCCATCACAAAGTTAAAAAAAAAAAGAAAATGAAATGCAAAAAAATCCGAAATGAGCTTCATAAAACCATATAACCAGGGTGTGGAGAAAGGTGGCGGGGGGAGGTGGTTCAAACACATTTTTAATTATCGCTTATCATTTACATATTTATATAATCGGTATCGGTATCGGTATCGGTATCGGTTTCGGCTTTTCATTCAATTACAATTTACCATCATATATTCATAGGTTTTTCTTTTTTAGCATCTGCAACATGGACTTTATTTCACCTTATTTTATACATAGAAATTGTGTCGTTTCGTTTGGTTTTTCCTTTTCCCTTTTCCCTTTCTTTTTTTTTGCATTTCATTTTCTTTACTTTTTTTTACTGATTTTTCTTTTTACTATATCTGTTTTTGGTTTTTCTTTTTTTGATATTGAATTACATTCAATTTGCTTATAAACATTTAAACACTCTTCTTCATTATTAGTATTATTATTATTATTATTAGTATTAGTATTATTATTAGTACTTTCTGGGTTGTTGTAAGAAGTTCGGCTTAAGGACTAAGTGCATGCGGTTAGATGGAGAGGAAAATCAAAATACTGACAGATACATTTACAAATACATTTACGTTTAGTTTAAATGCGGTTGCAGAGATCCCCCACCGTGGGCAAAGGGTGAAAATTCTTTTCTTGATTTTATCTTCTGTTATTTTTGTTTTGTTTTTGGTTTGATTTTGGTTTTTGGGATGATAATTCTGATATTGATCCTTGGACTTGGAGCTCTTCAACGTTCTAGGGATTTCCTTCCTTGATTTTCCATGATTTTTCTCAGAATTTTCTTCGGTTGGTCTTAAGTTTGTTTGTTGGGTTTTGTCAATATAGTTTCTTATTTTCTTTTTTTTTTTTGGTTTCAATTTGCTAAACGTCATCACATTCATAAAATATATATCCCATTTTTTGGTTTTTCTTTTTCTTTTCATTTTCATTTTCATTTTGTTTTTGTTTTTCATTTTTATAGTTATGCATACTAAGTGGTACCATCCATATATATATATATATATTCATATTCATATCCATTTAATTACGTTTAGTATGGAGATTATTCAGAATATTATCTTCTTGGTTTTTCCTTTTCTTGGGTTTTTCATTTTTGGAGCGAAAACGTATGAGAATGACGTACATGCCTGGTGGTGTTCATCACCAGTTTTCTACGGGGAGTTTTATGGGATTCTGGGATAGGGTTAGACCCTTTCTCTGGGGTGGGATCGCGGATCTGCTTCTGATTTTCCTTCTTTTTCTTTTCTTTTCTTTCTCTATCTTTCCACTAGCTTGGCTTAAAGTTACAGTTACTGTGTGGCTGTCTTCTGTCTTCTGACTTCCTTTTTCGTTTTCTTTTTCTTTTTCATTAATTTTTTTGGTTTTTCTTTTCAGTTTGAGATTTATATAGAAATAGAGAGAGAGTGAGATAGATAGATAGAGATAGATAGAGAGAGAGAGAAAGTGAGTGGAGACACTTAAATACTCGAGAGCTGAATTAGCAATATGCGCCTTAACTGGATAGTTTTTGGTTAGTTCTCTATGTCAATATCTGCTCTCAATGGCATTTTGTTTTTGGTTTTTCTTGGTTTTCCTTTTGTGTTTTCTTCTTCGTTTTCCTTATCATTCCATCAAACATACAACAATGAGTAATATCCCTTAGGCCCTAAACACATCAAAAATTTCCTATATATATATACACGTACATATATAGGTTAAAGATTATTCTGATCTGTGATATACATATATGGGAGTAGCCGACAAAAAAAAAACAAAAAAAAATACGTATGTATATATAGACTAATTATATGCTGATTTGTTTTATATATTTACACCTTGAACTCCTCCAACAATCGCCCTACTAACCTGCCATCCATTTTAGCTACTTCCTCTACCTTTCTCCCTTCCTTCCCTTTGCTTACATTTTACTATAGTCTTGAACTTATGGCTAGTTATCAAAAAAAATTCTTTATTATACTCTTATAGACTTGCCTCAAATCGCAAGGGGTTACCCATCAAAACTTCCTCCTGGCTCTGCTATTTATATATAATATATATAATTTATATATATATATTTATATATGTTTAGACACCTATAGCTTATCCTTGTACTAGAGAATGGGTTTCGTGTTGGTGTCTATGTATGTTGGTGTGTATGTTTGTGTTAAAGTTAAAACGAGCCGAAAAGGAAAACAAAAAGAAAAGTTAAATAGATCAATTCATACACTCGACATTTCCACTTCCATTTCCATCGATGGAAGAGGGAAATCTCCTGCGAGTTGCGTTATTTACAAGGTGTGTGTGTGTATGGGTGTGTGTGTGGGTGTTTATGGTTGTATGTGTTTTCCTTAGTTCTTTCTACCTGCCCCCCTTCCCAAAAAACTTGTACGACTTGACCCCAGACTTGACTTACGAAACATCAACTGCTTACCTCTCCCATTTCGCTGCTTTCTGCTTTCTGCTTTCATTTTTCTAGCTGACTTTTCCTTTTTTTTGGATCCGCACTTGTTACGCTTTTCTTTATCCCCGCAACTTGCAATATCTATCTGTGGTTAGCTTTAAAAAAAACTGATAAATATGTGTATATATCTTTGGGGCCGCCTCTTCCTTTTTCCTTTTGCGGACCAAGTCTGGCGGCTACTTAATTTAGTGATAACAGGATAAGCTCCAGCCCGCTCACAAAGTCCTTTCGTTTGGGGTGGCGTTTTGGAGTAAAGTGTATGGCCCATAGGTGGGACACGAGAGCAGGACCAAACCGGAAACCGAATAGGCCGGAAACCAGTAACCAGTAACCAGCAACCAGCAACCAGCAACTAGTAACCGAAAACCGAAATCCAGGGAACCAAGTTACAGAGCGATTTTAAAGTTACAAGGGGGACAAGAGAGGATTGTGGACTCTGAACCTAATATGCGATTCCTGTTGGCATTTCGGATTCGGTTCTCGATCCTCCAATGAGCTATGTCCCAAGCACTGGACTCCACTCGACCCGTCTGCGGCTCAGATCCTCAACGATTTCCTTCAAATCCTGACAGTTTCGGTTGCTTCCTCGTTGTCCCTTTGCCGTCTCCTCGATGAACTTCCTTATCGACTGGGCGCTACTACGACCAAGGGGCGTAACTGGGACGAGAGCAACGGCCGTAATGGCTGCGGAACAGCAGGCCACCAACTGGAGTAGCATCAGCGTGCCGCAGGTGAGTAGTACCAATGGCAGCAGTACCGGCGGCTGGGACGCCGTAGAGTTGCCATTGTTGCCCGTATGCATGGCCGCCGGATGCTCGCCTGTAGAAAGGAAAATGGAAAAGCGATCAGTGGTCAAAAGGCTAAAAGGTGGCTGAAAGTCTTAGCATTAAAGAGCAGCAAAAAGCGATTTACATTTAGATATTTGTTAAGGGGAAAACTCCTTAACTTATCAGATCCTAACCTACAAAAACTCTTTTAATATTAAGAATCTATCCTTGCTTACCTTAAAGGAAAGTTTTCATAAATTTTAAATTATCTTTCAGTATATAGTACAAGATAAGACATAACTTCCCTTTGAACATCTAACAAATGTGCACTTTTCCTTTCATTTTAAACATTTACCTTAACTTTTAATGAATTTGCTTAAAAATAAACTTAAAACTGAACTACTTTTGGCTTAAAATAACTCCAATAACCCCCATAAAAGTCTCTCAATATCAACTGATTTACTTTAGAGAGCAGAGAGGCAGCCAGCCAATCCAGCAAAGCTGCTGCCAAGTGTAAGCAGCAAATAAATTTTCGTGGAAAATGCTATTCAGGGATAGTTGGAAAACAATCAACAGCCAGCCAAGCCAAGCCATGCCATGCCAATGGAAATCGCCACAAGACCAATAAAAGCCAGCACAAGAAGTTAATTTGGAAGTGGACTCAACGCCAGCCAGTCAGCCAGCCGGCCAGCCAATGCACTGAAGGCGAAAGCCCATCTCGCAGAGATCCACTAAAATACATTGATTCCAACACGAGATGAGACGACGACGACGACGGGTCTGCAGTTTGGATCTGCATCTGCTACTGCTACTGCTACTGCTGCTGCTTCTGCTCCTTCTCCCACCACTGCCACTGCCCCCTTTGGAAAATCCAGAAGCTTTATTGCCTATTAACTTAATTGCCGGCAATAAAAACGCCAAGACTGGCTAAAAAAAAAATAAGCGAAGGAGGAAAACGAGCGGTGGCTACAAAAAACAAGAGCAGCATTCAAAAACTGCCCAACTACTTGGGCGGCGCGGCACTTGACTAGGTGGATGTGGATGTGGATGTGTTTCTGGAGGGGATTTTTTGTTTGGCCTGATGGGTGGGTGGGTAAGCGGGCGATGGGTGATGGGTGAAGAGGCCCGCCCCAACAGATGGCAGATAGGGAGCCATAAATTTTGGCATGAAATGCGCGCAAGAGTCTGTCGTCGAGACGGAGGATACTATAGCATCTACTCCTATATAGCTTCTGTAGCTTCTGTAGCCTCTTCTCTGCAGCTTCAATTATCATGCATCGTTCGTCCTTTACGAGTTCGTTGATGCCCATCATGAGCTGTTACTTAAGAGTCCGTCTGTGTCTGTGTCTCTGTCTTAATATGTGTGTGTGTCTGAATGTGCGTGCTAGTGCGCAAGTGTGTGTGTGACTGGGAGGCACTGTGGTGTGCTAATACTACCTAGTGAAAGCACTTTCTCCTCGACCTGAATGCTGATTATCGCGTACTCTGCCATTGCAAGGCTATAAAACTGGCAACTGGGAAATTTTTGAAGGAAAATGAAAGGAAAGTGACTTTAGATTGAGGATATGAGATCTTTTGGGATATTGGAGGAATATTTTTTAGGGATTTTTTAAGAAAGGGAATATATTTAAATCTTAAAATCCTTTAAAGTAGTTTAAAAAATATGAAAAGTACTCCTTAATAATCCAGGAATGTCTTTGAGCTTAAGAAAGATTAAGAAGCTAATCTTAGGCACAAAATGTACTTGAAAAATGTTAAATAAATATTAAAAAATATTATTAATTACTTAAATCTATCTATTTATCTTATAATAAGTTGTTAATAATAACAATCAGCCTCTAACTTTTCCCACAACTTCTTAACTTCCCTTCCAAAATGCCTCATCTTTTGACCCCTTTAACTATCTCATTTCCTAAAATCAAATACCATGACTGGACTGGCGACTCAAGTAGTAACTCTTAGCCCTATAACCACTGTACCTCCTGGCATATCCCATCTGCACAGCACACCACCACGTGCTTAGAGCATTTCAAAAGTTTTCCATGCCGAATGCTAAACGACAACGCCAATAACTCGACGCAGAGCGGATCGTTGTCCAAAGTCTCACTAATTACTGGAAGTCGTGGCTGGGTTTGGGGGAGGAAACCCTCCTCCCTCCCTATCCCCCTAGATAATACGGTTTGACGTAATTAAGAGTCCTGTGTTGTCCTCAAGTCCTTCCATCCTGCAGAACGACAATGAATTGTCGCCGATTCACCATTCACCATTCGCCATTCGCCATTCACCACTTATGACAGCCTGAAGTCCCGCATCGCCCCGACCCGTCCCTACTTTTTGGGCATCATCAGAGCGCTTCAGCTTGTCCCGCTCCTTCGAGTGCGTTAAAAAGCAAGCACTTGCAGATAAAAGCGCCATAGAAAGTACACTTAATTGGATTGGGGGGGTGGTTGGAGGATGATGTCGGGATTCTGTGTGGTCCACTGGTCCATGTTTGCCACCGAAAGTTGGACTTTGACTTGGACTTGGGACTTGACCATAGAGCTGAGACAGCAGCAGTTCAATTAATGAAAATGACTTTGATGTGCTGCCTCTGCTGCTGCTGCCCCCCCACAGAAATCGACTTTTGTGTGTGTGACTGACTGACTGACTGACTGGCTAGGTGTAATGATCGCCTTAAATGGCCACAAGTCCAGAAAAAAAGGACCACCAAAGAGAGAAAATAAACATAGATATAAGCGGCTTTGTGTTCCAGCTTTGAAGCTAGACTGAGAGTTATCAATAATGCAAAACTAAGGTCAGGCGGCGGGAAAGGATTTTACTAACTAACACAAGCAGTTGACTTTCCTTCAAGAGTTTCGGAGAAGAATTTCCAAGCTGAAAGCTTTCATTTTCATTTCTCTGTTGGGAAAAAATCTCATTAAATTCACATTTGAATAATCTAAAAAAGCATTAAAACCCATCACGTTAATAAAATTGGGTTATCAAAATGAAAAAGGATAATAATTTACGTACAGTAGAGACCAAGAGAGCATGACTTTGATAGAAAATTAAACATAAATCACAAACTAAAACCAAAAATACATACATTTTCCTAGTGAACTGCAGCTAGAGAAGGGCTGCTAGCCATCTTCTGTGGAAAACTCTAGACCAGAGATGAACTTTGATTTGCAAAAGGAAAGTGCCATTTCGAAGCAAACTCAAAACTAAGAAATGAACTCGAAATGACAGTCGGGACAATGAAACGAAAGCACACTTCTGTAGAAAATCGTAGAATATTGAATTAAATTCCAAAGTGCATTTGTCCGTTGTTTCGGCTGACAGCCTTGTTCTTGGTACGAAGGGAAAACACAATGCCAGTTTGAAGTTATCTAACCAGATTACTGATTTCGTTAATGATCTTTCATTGTCCAGTTTGGGTAACTTAATCACCTCAAATCATCAAAACAAGCAATTAACTACGATGTAAATCTCAAATTTCAATTATTGCCTGCTCTGCCTTGATTTGCAATCGCATTAAATTTGCAATAATATTTGGCATTGTCTTGACTATTTCTCTCGCATTTAACATTTAACCAAAAACTAAGCTGTAATCGAATCTTGAAGCATGAAATGGAATTCCTTCTTCGACTTCGAAATGAGATACCAAAACTTGGCCCGACTTCGTGTTCTTGATTTCTTTACTCATTTACTAAGAGATGCGATGCGATGCGATGCGATGGGATGCTTTGCTGAAAAGCTCATTTACCGACTTAGGTATGCTCCGCCGCTCAAAGAGTTCGACTCGAACGGAAGGGGAAATAATCTTCAGGACCTCCCTCTACCTAGCAGTTTCAATCCACCATCAAAAAAGAGGGGCGTTACTGCGGAAGTGGCACTCTCGCGCTGGCACTCTTTGTGTGCCAATTTCAATTTGGCTTTTCACTAACAGAAGTTCAAGTACAGCAAAAAGCGGGTAATAATACATTGATATTCCTTAAATTATGTTTTCAATTATTATATATTTTAAACTATATTTTAAACTTAACAAATAACTAGCTGAGATCTGATTTCACAAGCCATAAAACTTATATTTTCCAAGACTTGCCACCAAAATAATGCCTAATTGATGATTGATTGTCGAAGATTAGTTTTGCTTACCCTCCCCCCCTGCATCTTGTTAGATATTTTTTTTAAATAAACTACTTGAAAGGGGGTAGGAGCTTACCCCCCCCCCCGCCCCATCTTCATCAATATCTAACCCAGGCCCTCCTCCCTGCAGCGCTTTCCCGCCCGCAACGTTCAGCGCAAACAACTTGTGTTAATTACTTAAGTTTCAGCAGTTGTTCCACTTAACAAGTTCTTCTTCTTATACACTCTCATCTCTGCCTGCGCCTTAGCTGCTGCTGCTTTAGCCTCCCCCTCCTCTTCTGTTCCATATTGTTGCTATTTTTGTTGTTTTTTTCGTTATTTTTGTTATTTTTGCCATTTTAGTCTAATTCCATGGCGTATTTGTTGTAGCGTGCCGCTTACACGCCAAAGTCATTTGCGCTCAAGTTGTTAAACTTTTTGCTTTGTAAGCGCTTTTTTCCGGCCCCAGCGGAAGCGGCGAACGCCGGGCGGAAGACAGTGGGCGGTACGGGCCACAAGGCAAGGCCAAAAACTGAACAAATCCTTCGGGGCAAAACAGAGATAGAGTGAGAGAGAGAAGAAGGCGACGGCGTCTGCGGCATAAACGAGTCAAAACTTGCGCAAATGTTGATGCTCAAAGTTTTTCCTAACTAATTTTCTTTGACTTTACCATGTGTGTGTGTGTATAGGAGTGAGTGGGTGTGTGAGAGAGAAAATTTGAGATATTGGCTACAAATTGAGGAGATCTAACTTCAAGAGCCAATGGAATTGGACATTTATGATAGCCTTAACAGAAAAAATCAAGCACATGAATAGGTTATGACTAAACTTAGGTTACGTTAATTACCAGATATGGGAAAATAATATTAATTTAACCTTAATGTAGTCTTTTGAATGCTTTCTAAATCAAGAAGTTAGCTTAGGCTCAAGCTTACTATTTCCATTACCATGAAGATCCAAAATCCTTTCGTTTAAAAATTCCCAAAAAATCTTTAGCAAAATCCCAAACATATTTCTGATTTCCCGAAAAACCTACCTGGCTTACGGGGCAGTTAATACCGCAATTAGTTTCTCTACCAGAAATACCCAAAACCCCGAAACTAACATCCTACGTTTTCCCGTTTTGCGTTAAGAAGCTTATAGCTGTCCTGTTGGTTGGAAATATCAAAGCAAATGATTTTTGGAAAAGTTCAAATTTGGTTCGGTCCTGTATAGTTTTCCAGAAACAACCCTCCCGTTCGATAGTGAACGAGATGAAACGAAACGAAAAACTAACTAGCAGATTGCTCATACGTAAAGTTGTTGCCGGCTAGCTAATTGTTGGTAAGCACCCCCCGTTAGCTATTTTCATTCCATGGAAAACGAAACTCAACTTCCTCCCTCTACCACCCACACACAGCATATTCTCGTCGTCGAGCTTTTAGAAAAAGTTGTCGTCAATCACTGGACGCGCTCGTCTGTCAAATAAAGCCAAACAAGCTTAGTTGACTTTTGGGCGCCGCACATTTGTCTTGCTGTGCCGGGCCATGAGCAAAGTGACCTCCCCAGCTTACCCTCCTTACCCCTCCTTCTCACCCACTAGCCCGCCTCTGGGAAACTAACCTAATGCACTGGAGGAAAATTTATATAGAGAAAGAACTACAGCTTAAGAACTAGATAACTATATCACTTGAGAAGATTACAGAAAGCATTAAATAAAGTTAAATATTTTAAGTTTAAGCTTAAGTTTTCATTTTTACTTTTAAGTTTAAGCTTTGAGTTTAAGTCTTATGCTTAAGTTTAAGTTTTGATTTTAAAGAAATTTTATGCATTTCTTACATACTATTGCCTACTTTTAGGCACCCTTTGAAGATCAATAACGATAAAAGGAAAAGTTAAGCAAGCTTAAGACTTAAATCTAGAGCAGTCATTTTTCAACTTAGATTATAGATTTTCAAAATATCATTTAGTTAGACAAAAATACCTCCCAAATTTTGTGATTTAAGAAGTTATCACTTAAAATTTTACTAAAAAATAACTAAAACTGAGCCTTAAATGCTAACTTAGATGGTATCCTGATTATCATATTTGCTGATAAGGCTTAGCCATTTACCTTATTCTTAAAAATATATTTCTTAACTACTTTCTCGGAATATTCCTTCATATAAAACTGCTTTCTATCCATCACTTTGCGTTGTTAAGCTTAGCCATTTCTATAACTTTCTTTAGAAGTATCTTAAGTACACCCCCAAACCTGTTTCTGTAACTCATCATCATCTTATTAAAATTTCCCTATAGACTTTTATCTCAGTGTACCCAACAGAATCCATATAGCAAGGACAACACTCATATTTAGGCAAGGCAAAGCGTTTTGCATACCGGGCTACTCACCATCGACGATATGCACGCGCACCGAGGTCGGATTGGCATTGGAGGGGGTGCATGTGTAGAGTCCCGAGTCCTGGCTGATGGCCTTCTGCACCAGGAGCCGGCTGGTGGTCAGCACACCTTTCTCGGTGACTAATGATATGCCGCCGCGAGGTGAATCGAAATTTATGATCTGAAATAAATAACCGACCACGGCAGTGGGTTGGTTTGCGTGAGGGGGAGAGAGAGAGAAAGAAAGGCAAACAGCTTAAGTGCCAGGACATACAGTTTTTCGTTTTTCGGTTTTTTACTCCTGCGAAATTGTTACATTTGCAGTTGTTGTGGTTGTTGTTGTTGTTGTTGTGGCTATAGTACTATATAGTATTTGTGTGAGTTTGGGTTTTTGTTACTTTTTCGGGATGCTGGACTGGGGCTGGGGCAGCATCCTGGGGCCCCTGGCAGAACGAGCATGTTAGTTAAATTTTTATTAATGACATCGTGTTAGTCAAGCCAGGGTGCGCTTTGGCTCCGAAAGCTGCTTCGTTATGCCAGGGAAATTTCTTATTTCTTATTTCGACCAAAAAAAAAACAAAAATAACATAAAAAATAGAAACCGGCAACAGAATTTCCTTGACATTTGCTTATAAAAAGAAAAGTTGGGAGACTCACAGGACACATCACCAGTTTGGTGGAAGGAGACTGACTACGGCTGACCAAAGATTTTGGTACCTTAATAAAGGTGTTTTGGGTTTTCTTTAGGGATAAGGTTTTGTGGTGAATATTCTGGGGTTTTTTGAGGGTCTTAAAAACAAATTTTTAAACATTTTTTAAAGAAAGCCTCCTTTTGGTAGTTTTTATTTTTTAGAAAGTTAACATTCGGACATTTTTATGGTTAACTCTGGCTCTTAGTTCAAGGTGAAGGGGTGATAGTTTGACAGCAGTTAAGTTATGAGATGGGAAACTGAAAATTCCCAGAGGAATTGCTAGTCGTTTGTCAATCGATTAAAAGTTTCTACTCTCGAAGGCAGATAACCAAAACTATAACTAATAATCATAAAAATCCAAGAAGTCAGCCGGAAGGAAGGAAGGACCCTTGTCAAATGTGACTATTAATGCCACTCCTAAACTCCCTCTTTCTCCTATATAATATCCAAATATACAGCTAAGCTTGGGTTAACCCATGAATATTCATACTTTACAGACAGAGACACACATGTCAAGTGGTTTTTCGTTGCGGTTGTTTTTTTTTTTTTTCTGGTATTTTTGTTGGTATTTTGTGATGTTTTTTGAGGGTTGGGGGACATGAAGTTAAAATGAATTTTGTGGGCTCACCTCGCGGTTGTGGGACCAAATGACGGTTGGCGGCGGTTCCGGTGCGAATTTCACAATGCAAGTCAAATTGATGGTGGATCCCCGGTTGATGTGCAGCTCGGGACCGCCGATGATGTCGGTGACGGGTTCTGAAAGAGAGAGGAGAAACGGAAAAACAAAAGCAAACTGGGTTAAAAATCATTTCATAAGCTGTGGCGGCACACTCACACACACAACAAATGGCACATAAAACATTTTGAAAGCTCATTTTCGTTTAAGCCTGAAAAACAATAAAAAATAACAAAAAGAAAAGCACAACACAGAAGGCAAAGGGCCAGGCCAAGGACATTAGGAGTCGTCCTGAGCCTGTTTAAGAAAAGTTTATCTACCGTTGCGTTAAATTGTTTTCTTTCCTGCTGCGCGTAACCAGAATGGATGTCTGCATGTACCGCACCCCTCTTCAAATTCAACCCTCTACCCCCCTTGGCACATGTGTGTGTGCGTGTGTGTGTGTGTGTGTATTTGACATCTACACGTTTGTTTACTTTCTTATTCATCGTAAAACAATTTGTGACTTTCGAGTAAGCAGAAGCGAACGAACACAACACAGGCTAAAGGGAAAAACCAAAAAAGGCAGCCAAAATGGAAATAAAAAGAAAGCACAAAAAGTGTGCTGAATTAAATGCAAAGTGACATCGGAAAAAGAGGGACAACCAATCAGGAGGGAAAGGGAAAGATCGAGAGGGAGGAGAAAGAAGAACAACAGAAATCTCAAATTCAAATGCTGGCCAAAGTAAACAACAAATTGTGTCATTAGTTCAAGGACATTGATTGAAATCTCGGTTGGCCGAAACTAAAATTGGAAATTCTTAACTTGCCAGCGCCCCCTCCCCCACTCACACTCTTTCGACCACTCCAAGCACTTTTCTACATGCTGTTGTACACTGAGAGAAAGGACTTCTATATAGAATGTTATAGCTTACGAAAGGAAATAATAATCTGACAGTTACAGTAATAAAAGTAAGTAAAGGGAGGGAGACCACATCCCCTTTTTCTCTCTGTGTAAATAGCCTTTCCTGCTCTGCTCTTCTCTACCCTTGTTCAATGCTAATAAATTGGGATTTCTTTGCTGCCTGCTGCCTGCTGCCTGCCTCCTTCAGCTTTCTTCTTCTTGGGCTTCACCATCTCCATTTACTGCCTCTTACGTCCTACGCTCTCCTTCCGCCCCCTCCCCCATCACTCTTCACACCATTTTCTGGAAGCAGCAGCAAAATGGCTGCTTTAGCGCTTCCGCTTTTTGAACAACTTTCATCAGTGTGTGTGTGTGTGTCAGAATCTAGCTGTGTGACTATGTCTATGTGTGTGTAAAACTGCAGTTACTGTAGTCGGGGCTAACGGTAATGTGCTCTCCTCTCTTCTTGACTGAAAACGCCGCTAAAGGTTAGTGAAAGTTATGTACTGCCAAATGGCGGCTGCCACTCGTTCTCAAGACAGTGGGCGGTTGTTGGGAGGTTTGCTAGAGGTTTTCCCTTATATCTATTTTCCTTTTTTTTTCTTCTTTTTTTGGGTTATGCTCCATTTTCCCCATGCAACGTTCGAGCGTATCTCTCAATCTCCATTTTGAAGTTCTTTATGCTTTGCAGTTATCTCCGCACTGTGTGATTTCGCCCTCTTGCCCCATGCCCCATGCCCCATGCCCCTTTACCACTAACCCATTGCATTTGTAACCCATTTGCCACAGAGATTTGATCTCCTAGCAAGGATACTCGGTCAACTTGATGTGCATTGCTGCTGCTGCTGCTGTGCTGCCTCCAAAGTTAACTCTGCGAATAAACCGAGTGAGTTCCTGGCTTAAAAAGTTTAACTCGCAAAAAGGAAGATTCTTGCCACCAAAAAACGAAACTCAATGGGTTTTCTCATGGATGGGAAAAGCCTTGCTACTTCGCTGCCTTGCTGTTAGTGCCATAAGCGAAAAGTTAGTGAAATGGAAACGTTTTAGAGGGAAATTTAGTAATCCCGAAAAACAAGACAGACAGACAACAAAGTCATCTCATATGGTTATGGCTATTAGCAGCAGCTCCCAACTGGAGATTGTCCAAGATTTATTTTTCATAAACAATTTGATATACTTTATAGAAATGATAGAACAAGAAACATATTTGGTGATATAAAACAAAGATATCGAGGCATCTCTTATCAAATTCTAAAGCCTCCTCCTTCAAGGCCCCCTAAAATTAACCCCCCGCTAAACCTCAAGGCAACTGGTTGGCCATATTTCCTACTGAATTTTGAAGTGTCACCCGCTAGAGTCTGCAAACTTTTATGTTCCTAAAATATTCATTCAGACGAAACAATTGGTTTCAATACGTGCTCTCCCTCCCCCCCTTGCACATCCTTATTTATTATTCCCTCTATACCTGAATACCTGACTGCCCTTCTACCTCATATGCTGTACAGATATATATATATATATTTAAATATATATATATACCATATATACCTTTGGCCGACAGCTTTTATGGCAATTTAAACTTTGCCGTTCGCAACACATTAAACTTATTGATCCGAAACTGGTTCGGCAACGGCACCCACAACCCTATGGAATTTGGCCGGAGCCTTTAAAAACAATGCCAAAAAGGACATGGCTGGCGAAGGGGGAGATGCGTAGGAAATTGCGGGTCATTCGGCACATGTGGGCGTTATGTGTGGGCGGCCCTGTGTCTGTAGGCCCTGGGCGTGGCATCATCGTGTATGTGTGTGTGTGTGTGTATGCGTGCGGCGAGTTAATATTAAACAAATATTACGCATACGACACGAGGGAGCAGCTGGAAATCATCAAACGCTTTCGCATTTTGCGTTTGCGTTTGAGTTTGCTGTTTGTGTGTGTGTGTATGTATGTAGCGCCAAGAAGTATGCAGCAGGTTTATTATTTATGCCATTCATGCGGTAGAACATTCAAATAACCCGCCAACAAACACACCGCCGCCTACCACTTTCTCCACATTCCCATCATCAGAGTGTCCCAAGAGGAATTTATGACCTTTTTACTTTTAATTTGGCCAAGATAGGGTGGGGAGCGGAGGGGCGGAGGCGAGCGATATCTATCCGTAGCATTCCATGCGAGCCATAACAGCTCGGTCGGTCATGCGGCGGCTCCTTGGAGCATTCCGAACGGATTATCTTTGGTGATTTTTAGTTTTCCTTCAGTGCCAGTGCCTCTAGTTGCCTCATCCTCATGCCCATCCCTATCTCCATCCCCATTCCTCATCGCCACTCACCGACTCAATTACCAGTCGAATCGGACTTTTAGAACTCTACAGTGGAGATCATTATGAAAGTGAATCTTCTTTGGGATTTATAAGTGATAAAATCCCAACCAAAATTCTATTAATTTTACAAATGCAATCCTTAAACTTGAATCAAGAAGACTAGAACCATTAATGATAGATAGAGTGCAAAAATTTAGACTAACAATGAAGTTTAAATCGAAATCAGATTGAACTCAAAGGGTTATTTAACATAAAAACTTATCGCTGCTACCATCTCAACCTCGTCTGTAGTTACCTTGGCCTGTGCCAAGTGCGTGACCAAACTGCAAACAGCCAGCCATGGCTGAGAGATACTATGAGCCCCACTAGCCGGCTGGCCAAAAGGGCTGGGCGGGCTGGTTGGGCTGGTTGGGCTGGCCAGGCAACTTCAACTCATTAATCAACGTAATTTGGAGAGTCTTTGGGAGTGTAAACGGCGCTTATGAATGATTCATGTGCCCCACCCCTCCTCCTTGCTCGGTGCCTCTGGGGCAAGTATCTTGGAATCCCTCCCCCCTCCTTCCACCCCTTTCGATTTCATAGCCAGGCCAACTCACTCGTCGTCTGCCTCTTATCGAATTAGTTGCTGCATTTGCGCCTTGCACTTTGATTAATCGCCATGTCAACATTTGAGCCTAATTTGCAACTTTTATGCCGGGGCTTTCGAATGTGATTTATGGCCAAAAGGCAAACACCAAATTCCCCTACACACACATATATATATATATATAGATATTGGGAAACTGGGAAAGGAAAAACAACCCTGAAATTTAAATGGCTGAGTGTGCGTGTGTTTCTGCGTGTGTGGCTCTCGCTCCTGCCGCCTGTCACTTAAAGGCATGTAAATCAAATAATAAATTTCAATAAAAATACAAATAAAACCTATCAAACGTGTATATGCGGTGGTGCCCCGAAAAATGATTCTCAAAAGGTCGCCTTCACGACCAGCCACCAACCCACTCGGGGGCGCTCCTTTTTCCTGCTTGTTTACAAGCCGATTTTTAATGTCTGTTTGGAAAAAGGAAAACCAAACCGATATTTGCGATACGAGAGTGTGTGTGGAAATATCAGGGAAAATGTCTAGAACCTCTTTAAGGAGTACTAAAAAGCGAGGAAACGTGGAGTTTAGTACGCAATTGAACTTTTTATATTAATCAAATCAATTTTAAAGCACTCAATCTGGTAGGATAGCTAGGATATGTCAAGGAAATCAAGCTAAATGGTCCCCAATCGAGGTAAGAAACTTGTATTAATGACATTAACTTAAAATTCCAACTATTACTATTTCAAGAACCGAAATTCCTTTACCTAAGATCTCCTAAACTTAGAAGGAAAATCGGACTATAAAGCCCAATAATGAAGAATAATTAAGGCTAAACTATCTCCCCTCTTCTAGCTTGCTTCGTCTTCGCCCCCCTTTGGAAATCTCTAATCCGAACCATAAAACTGTCACCATTTCGTTGGGGCTTTTATAGGTTTTCGTTTGAGCCATAAAGGTTAACGTAATGCTGCCTATAACAACACACAAGCACCCACTTAGAGAGAGCAACTACACCCACTTCTCCAAAGACCCAAAAACCTGAAACATCGAAAAATGGCAAAGGCAAAGGCAAAGGCAAAGGCAAAGGCAAAGGCAAAGGCAATGGCGATGGCGAAAGGCAAAGGCTTACACGCTCATAAACCTTTATGCTTTTTCAATTGAATTGTCCCGAAGTTTTTGGTCGGATCCTCGACCTTGATGTTTTCTTTCCCCCCTCCCCTTAGCCCCTTACTCCTTTGTCTGTGGGTAATAAAATTTGTTGCCGTTGTCGCCATTGTTCTACGAGGCGCGATTTTATGAT